ATTTGTCTTTTATGATTGAGGGTTTATCTATTTAAGGGTAATCTTATTTCAGCTCTCAATTCCAGACACAAAACATGCAATCAATGTGTATTTTAAAATAAAAAATAAAATATTATGAAAAAAATGACCTTTTTTTTATAATAAAAGAATGGATTAGAGCAGTGATTCCCAAACTGTCAGCTGCGGCGCCCCGGGGAGCCGCGAAATATTGTAAGAGCTTCAGTTTGAGAAAATGTGTAGTGATTTGCAGGCTCATTCATCACATTAATTATTTAATATTAATTTAATATTAATAAAGTAAAAAAATAATGAAGATACACGAGTTATATTTTTTTTATCTCTTACGAATAGTCATACTTAGGGTAGGGCGCCATGGAAAAATCTTAATTGAAAAAGGGCGCTGCGACTAGGAAAAGTTTTGGAACCAATGGATTAGAGTTCTGAACAAGATAAGGATTTACCAAAATTCTATCCAAAGAAGTAACATGTAAATAAGGAAAACTTGTTATCTAGTGAAACCAATAATATTGATATGGTATATGAAAGTAGATTGGCGTTCAAACAATCATTGAAGATAGATTAGATATATTCACCCTATTTCGTTTATGACGATGAAGCACTGGTAGTAAAGGTTTTCTACAATGATATGAGTAAATCTGACGTTTTCAATGAATTCCACGTAGCCTTGCTTTCCGAAAAGATGTTCTCATCCAAGAAGGACTACGGTTTCGACCTCGCCTAGGTCTTATCAACATCTCCAGTGGGACTCGAGCCATAACAGTGCAGTGTAGTGTCGACACATTAACCAGTACGCCGCACTATCACGAGTGTCCTTGGGCCACAAGGCAGATGTGAATTTAAAGGAAGACCAAGCATTTTTACGTCACTTTTTTTTTGTAGGATTGCCGATGAAGCAGCTATATTTGTATAGAAGACAGAGGCCAAACAAAAGGCAACACCATCCTGGTCTTCATACTTCCAGTTAAATATTTGGTTTGAAAATAGACCACGTTACTTATTTTTTGCTTATTAATATAGCTTCGAGACTACGAGTATATAAATAATATGAGATGCATTAACTCCATTTCGTCTGAAATGATGAAGGACTGGTAGGTGAATTTTTCCACAATGATATTAATAGACCTTATATTTCCATTGAATTTCACATTGGCTTGCTTTACAAAAATGGGATTCTCATCCAGGGCACAAGTGGCAATGTGGCGTAGTGTTTAGCTGTACTTTCATGATTCGAGTCCCACTGGTTGTGTTTATAAGGCCGAAATTGCAGAACATTCTGGATGAAAACATCTTTGGGAAAATCAAGGTTATATGAAATTTAATCAAAGCGCTAGTTCCACTCATACTATTGTTGGAAAATTTAACTACCAGTCTTTCATCATCTTAAATGAAATAGGGTATATATATCTCATATGACTGATTTACTGGTACTCTCGAAACACGACTTAAAAACGAAAAATTATTTCAGTTTACTATAAATGCAGGCACATCGAAAAAGCAAGATAAATTTGGATGACAAATAAAATTAGCTCCCTAACCAAACGTAGTCAGCCCGACACGGCCAATATAACGTCATCCAAAAAAGCATTCCACCAAGATCTACAGACAAAGTATTACGGCTAAAATAATTTTAGTACAAAACACGATCATATTGTCGATCGTTAAAGACAACCTAGTGCGGCAATTTAAATTAATCCTTAAATTTCATTGAGGGAACACAGTTTCCATCGATGAAACAATAAGATAAGAGAAATAGCGGTCCATTCAATAGCCATTTCCCAAAAGCCTATTTAGAGAGCACCGTAGTTTAAAAAGGGCTAATCGATATGCCAATTTTGCAACCCAAAAGAAGAGTTTACAAGATGCCGAATGTTTGCATTCATCTTACCTCAAAAATTATGTGGATATTTCACATTTTGTTTAGTATTTCTGGATGAAAAACGTCAATAAAATAGGTCAGGCAAACAAGTCACAAGCATTGTGGCCGATCTATTTATTTAAGTTATATTGTAGCTGGAATCCTAAACAAATCCGTAGCGTGCTAAGTAATATTGCATAGTATAATCACTATATAAAATCTGTTAACTAGTGAGACAACCATATAACTAAGGTCGTTTAAAATGCGACAGGCTTAGCTTCAGCCATGATTAAGGTGAAATCAAGGGTCTTAAAATCCGAGGCCTCTGATGGGACTAATAAAAAGAATAAGTTGAGAAAAGTTGTAAAAAGAATTTTCATCATAAATCCTGAGAACTGCCTGTAATTAGATGATCGACTATGCATTCAAGACAAAGTTAAACTAAAATACAAATGTCAGGTCCCCCAAGGTAAATTTCCACCAATACGCAAATTTTTCCCAAAGTAGTCTGCATTGCAAAGCAAATATAAATCGATGTATGCAGAAAAGTCAGATATCTTTATCATATAAATTTAATTTTTCCCTTAATAAATTATAAAATGCATGAACAGGTCTAAAGATCTGATTTCTTATCTTTATTATAAATCAATTTAATAAGAATTAAGGGCTTCTAACAAACACATTAAAAAAGTATTAAAGTTACTGATGCACTTGCATGCCACTATAAGGAATCCTATAGGGCGAAGTAAAGTTATTTTCGTAGTTGAGTAGAGTTTTGAGACTACCAGTAAATCAGTCATATGAGTGATATTCACTCTATTTCGTTTAAGATGATGAAGTACTGGCAGTAGAATTTTCCCACAATGATATGAGTAGAGCTGACGTTTCCATTAAATTGCAGATTGCCTTAATTTCCCAAAAGTTGTTCTCATTGGGAAAGCAAGGCAATGTGAAATTCAATGGAAACGTCAGCCCTACTCATATCATTAAGGGAAAATTCTACTACCAGTCCTTAATCACCTTAAACGAAGTAAAGTTAGTTGGGATTATTAAAGAGCAGGTAGTAGGTAGCAGGAATAAGCTAGTACTAAAATTTATTCTTGCTAGGACACCTATAAGTAATGATTTATGATAATGAGGAAGAGGATTCATAAAACCTTAATTAATAAAATTTATATCTTACCATCCATCTGAACAAGAAGCTCTGACTTTACGCGGCGGGAAGCTTCGTGTTCTGACTCGGCACCGCGTCGAGAGCATATTGAATCAATTTCATCAATGAAGATAGTGCTTGGTGCATAGAAACGCGCCATATCAAATAGAAGCCGTACCAGCTTCTCAGATTCGCCACGCCACTTGCTGGTTAAACTAGAACTAGATAGATTGAAGAATGTAGTTCCGCATTCTGTGGCTACAGCCTTTGCCAATAACGTTTTCCCAGTGCCTGGAGGTCCAACCATCAGCACTCCCTGGTCATGGGATTTAAAATAATGTCAATATAAGACCAAAGTAGAGGGAATTAGGTAAAAAAATTTTTTTTGCGAAATGAGTACCAGAGGAGATCAGATTAGATATTCTCATTACGCCTTATACCAGCAAAATTTATTGAAACGCCCAACAACATGAATGTTTCAACTGAATCGACAATTACGTCCAAATGGATTTAAACTAGAAATCTTCCTTCGCTTTCTGAACTCTATTTTCTCCACTCGATCACATTTGTTAATTAATTTCGGAAAACAAGCCATGTACTGCAATTACAGCCGATTTAGTCGACTCTAATTGCTGAATAGGCATACACGATAGGATGCTTTTAAATGGAGCTTTTGGTTTGTCCATTTTACCAAATTTTCAATCACTTAGCTATACTTGCTTTGGGTTGGGCAATTGGCAAGATACATTCGCAAACTCTTTTCTGGAAGAATGATCTAAATTGTTATTGTGAATCATGATGGGCACATGGACAATTTAGAAAAAATAAAGAAACAAAAAAACATGGATCCATTAGCTCTAGATGTTGACCAGGTTGTTATGGGAGCGACTTGAGATAGATTCGGTTGGCAGGCTGATGCATAAATGTTATTTACTCGTACGATAAACGATCTGGCACCTGATATATTCTCAAGTCTATATGAGATTACGGCTAAGGCATATAGGTCAAACAAGTTTAGAATAAAAGTTAAATTCCTCTTGACGCAATGATAAGAACGTTTCTGTCTATGAATCACTTAACTGAATATTTTATTTGCGTTTGTCTCATATCAGACCATTAGATAATTTATTTAAAATCTACATAGACAGAGATGAATATAAATATTCGGCACTATAAAAGGACTCGCTAACGAATTTGCTATGCAATGTCTTTTATGTAGCCTCAAATGAAATTCTTTTATTCCAAACATTTAAATATACGAAGAATCTAGCAGTGACTCATCAGTTAGCCAAGCAGGTTACCATTTTTAAAATGGATTGAAATTTGCATATTCTGTGTTACTCGAAATTCCAGTTAAGAGTGCCGAGTAAAGTAATAAAGTGACTCAAGCAGCCTACCTTCCAAGGGCGTCGAATGCCTTTGAAGAAGTTGGGTAGTACCAATGGAAGAACCACAGCTTCCTTTAATAAGCGTTTTGCATCTTCCAACTCTGCTATATCATCCCACCTTACATTGAGGTTCCGCTGGACAATGTCGCGCTCTAAGAGTTCGATCAGCTCTTTATCATACCCATGACCTTCGAAGCGCCGATCTTCGTCTCCCGTGATAGCAACAGAAGAGGCCCCACCACCACCACCAACGTTGGCGCCACCCATTTTACTAGGAGGGCGGCGGGCTCCAGCAGCGATGCCTAGAAAACACGAAATAAGAAGAGGTTCACAACCAGATAAAGCAACAATGTGAAAGGATAAGACTTAGCGAAATTGGCCAAATAGTTAGTGTGAAATAAGCATAAAAATAGAATAAGATTATTAAAGTATATGCATACTATGTGTGCAAAGAGTTTCGTAAGCGTGGCTGCCTTCGCCTTTAAAATGGAATTATTTGGATTTTTTGGCTGAATAGGCATACACGATAGAATGCTTTTAAATGGAGATTTTGGTTTGTACATTTTTCCAACTTTTCAATCACTTAGCTATACTTGCCTTCTTGAATAAATTGGCGTCTCATATAAGATCTGCAATTATCGTATTTCGTTTAGGGTGGTGAAGGACTGATTGGTAAATTTTCCCACAATGAAATGAGTAGGCCTCATGTTTCCTTGGAATTTCACATAGCCATGCGTGCCCAAAAGGTATTTTAGCCAGAGTGGACAGAAATTTGGACTAAGCCTAGTGGTTAACGCATCGAGACTATAAGCTGCATAACACAAGCTCGATTCTTGCTGGAGTTGCTGATGAGACCCAGGTTAGATGGAAACTATATACACCTTGGACGAGAATAATTTAT